TATATAAAGCTGGTTGTTGTGTGTTTAAAACGTATTCAGTTTTACTATTACAGAAATCTGATCTGTTTCAGTTATACAAATATGCATCACATTAAGTTTCTTAGGTTGTTAAAAGTGTGTAATTCAAACGGATGGAAGATTTATATGCAATTCAAATACATCAATCTAAAACTTGGGCCTAAATACTTGTTAGTGGTTTTATTCTGTGGTTTTTCTTGCATTAGTACTCGAGTAAAGTATGTTTCAGACTGGGTTCATTCCACTAACCTGAACAACCTCACTGATTTTCCACTGTGTTAACCAGGCAACTAACACTTGACCACTGTTAACTTCACTGTATCTGTGGTATATAATGAAATTAGGAGTTATATTTGAGTAAAATGATTATTGAACACATTTATACTGATGTTTCTCCATGACAGTATTGTTCACAATTTTGAAGCAGTAGTTTACCCAAAAATAAATATTTGCTACTCTCCCTCAGGCCATCCAAGATGTGGATGAGTTTGTTTCTTTATCAGATTTGGAGAAATGTTGCTCACCAATGGATGCTCTGCAGTGAATGGGTGCCGTCAGAATGAGAGTCCAAACAGCTGATAAAAACACCACAATAATCCAAAATGCTCCAATCTATCAGTTAACATCTTGAGAAGCCAAGACAAATCCATCATCAAATTGTTGCATGCAGCTTAAATATGACTCAATCCATAATAACGCTTCCTCCAATGAAAAAGTGCATCTCCTGTTGTCTCTCACATCATCTCTCACATGTTTGTTTAGAGCTGTTTTGGCTTGTAAACGGTGCTTGATCTGTGCAGATTTCTCTCCTGATGCAGACCAGACCACTTCTTCACTGTAGGAAGCGTTATTATGGATTATGGACTCATATTTTAGTTAAAAACGTCTTAATGATGGATTAGTTTCAGCTTTTGTCTTCTCCAGATGTTAACTGATGGACTGGAGTGCTGTGGATTATTGTGATGTTTTTATCAGCTGTTTGGACTCTCATTCTGACGGCACCCATTCACATCCATTGGTGAGCAAGTGATGCAATGCTACATTTCTCCAAATCTGATGAAGAAACAAACTCATCATAATCTTGAATGGCCTGAGAGTGAGTACATTTTAAACAAATTTTCATTTTTGGGTGAACTGTTGTTTTAAATGAATACACACACGTGTAATGACTAGCAGGTTGTTACGTGCGTGCTGTTTAACATGTTTAATGTTCTGTACAGATGTTAGTTTTCATTGGCGGGTGTACAGATGTCACTCATCTACACGCCAAGCTGTTGTTCATGTTCACGAGTCTTGTCTCGCTCTGGAGAGACGCTGCGTGTCAGAGTGAAATCAACTGTGTTTGTTGTTGAAAATGGAATAAATGTGTCTACAGACGTTTATAAGTGCTTTGTCTGTCTGTTTGTTCTGGTGCTGATACTTACTTACAGTAAAAGTTTTACACTTAAATGTTGAAATTTTGTACATTCATGTGAGATGAACAATCTAGAAAATAATTATTCTTTCTACTCATCATCTACTCAGTCTTTCTGATGCTGGTAAAATACTTCCAACTATTAATAACAAGATGCATCAGGGATGCACAATATATAGTCATGCTGGTTACTGATTAATCAATCAGCTTTGCTAGACATTTACTATTACAGGCCAAATTATTTTATTATTATTATTTTTTTAATAATCTGTATTAGCACATATTTAATACATTGGGCAACTTTTTAAATGGATGTTTTTATTTATTTAGATATTGGCAGATATTTGATGCTTCAGTAAATATTTTAATCTGTATTTGCAGATATTTGACATTTTGTGCAGTATTTACTTTTTAATTGATATTGGCAGATATTTCATATTTGGGCAATATTTAAGACTTCAGTCATATATCTCTTTCATTGTTTCATTTTCATCAGTCTTTATGGCTGAAAATGCTAATGACATCATCCTGCCCTGCACAGATTTTCATCCAATCAGAATCTCTCTAAGAATGTACTTCCTCTTGCAACAGACAAGCCGTAGCAATTAGCATATTCGGAGTCATGTGACTATAAAGGCTAAAAAATGAAATAAAAAATGAAGGTGCCAATATAGTCGAATCAAAATGGTGAAATCAAAACATTGGCCTTTCTGCAGAGCGCCGTGTTTTCTAAATGTCTGTATTTTGGACTCAAACTCCTGGAGTTTGTGCTCTTCATGTGAATGTGCATCTGTTGATGTGGACACACTCTTCTCTCTCGTTCACATGCAGTGAGTGGATCTGTGGATCAGTGTTTGATTTTATACAACAGCATCCTGAAATACAAGCCTTAATCCTCCAAACTGGACTCAGTTACAGGATTCCTCTCAGAAATCTGGTTTACATCCATTATCTTTATAATATTAACACTTTAATTTATTTGCCTACTATTTTTTAACCATAGTGCAGCAGTATGTAGTATGCAGTGCTGAGCATTTCAAACAGTACGTCTGACAAGGAGACAAACGAGGTTTAATTTTTATTGCTGACAGAATGAACACTAGATTCAGGACAAGACAAAAACACGGTTTGGAAAATGGATTCATGGTGTACTCGCTTGTTATATACATTTTGAACACAAAAAAGTTACGGACTGCAGCTTTAAATTTTAAAGTTAAATGTGGCATTGCATTGTGAGATGCATTATTAACACTTCCATGTTACTATTTCTGCAGAATAGACGCAGTATGCATATTTTCACTATGCACAGAAAAACGTGCATTTGATGAATGAAATGGAACTTTCTTTCTTTTCCTTTTTGTTTTTGCTTTTCTTAAATTCAAATTTTCCAATCTATCGGTTTCTATTGGCAGATGTTTGATATTTCGGGTCAATATTTATTTAGTTTTCTGTATTAGCAGCTATTTGATAGATTTACTTTATTATATTAATTCATTTGTTTGTTTGTATTGTCAGATAATCATTTGCATAAACTAATAGACATAACTTGTGTCTGAATGTATGATGAATGGTGTTAATCTGTTAAATTATTATTATTTTCTGCTTCTTTGTCATCTGAGTACAGGCGGCTCTCATGTCTCAGTGTCCGAGGCTTGATGCAGTGAATGTCTTGTAAACGCTGCTCTCTGCTGGACAGAAGCTCATCCTCTGTGAATATCAAATATATGAATATCTGCCTTTGAATCATGATGATGAGTGCTATTCTGTGTCAAAAGAGACCGATCCTGCCTCACTCACACACTGTCCTCTGAATCCTTCAGCGCTGCTTCATTAGTCCTCTCTAACGAGGGGAGAAACTTCTTCACGTCAGACACTTTTCAGAATTATTTAATATATTTTATTTGCAGTAGAACATACAAAACATTAAATATTTACGCGGATGAAATGTCACATTTTAACTCAATATTAAATTGTATATTATGATAAAAAAAAATATTAAAAGAAATAAAAAAAAATTGTAATCCGTACACCAGGTTAATTATAGAATTGAGCTTCCATTTGTGGAAATGAAAATCCCATTTTGGGTTTTCGTGGTCCAGTCTGTAGTTGTGAAAACGTACTTTTTTTGTGGAACATATCATTTACAAATACTTCTTTTTAAAAAGAAAATGAAAAAAACCAAACAAATAAAAACAAAAAAACAAGACAAAAAAAAAATGCTTTTTCATATAATCTTTCCACATTTCATGTTTCATATTTCATAGCAATTTATTTGTTAACAGGTGTGATGATCAGTGGTTTTGAGTTTTTACCTCCTTTATTAAGGTATGGACTAAAATATGGATAGAGTTTCTCAGTGAAAGTCTGACCAGTGAAAGAGTAGATATGAGAGCTGGAGCCCACGTCATAAAAAGAGACCAGACCCTCCTCATAATCCACAAACACTCCCACAATCTCAGGTTTCACACTCAGAGATAAAGAGACAAGTGAATTTTCACAAGCTTTATATTCATTCTCGTTCCTCAGAATCAGAGTCCAGCATCCATTCACTGGAGTATATGTGATGGCCCCCTTCCTGTTAATGGATTCTCTGGCCACTCCTAAATCCCACTCAGTCTTTCCCTTCACCTGCACCTCATAGTAAAATCTGCCTGAACTGAATCCCTGCTTTGCCAGAACAGAAATAGTTTTATTAAATCTCTTTGGGTTTTCTGGGACGTCACGCTCAATATCTCCATGACTGACTTGTTTTCCATCATCAGACAGAATGAGATATGAAATCGCTGTATCAGGATCCAGAGTCACATCCACTAGATGAGAGATCAGACATTATCAATCAACTTCAGAACAAACATTTTCATATAATACAGATTATAAAATGTACTGAAGAATATGGTGTCAGTCACTCTGTACCTGCAAACTTCTGTAGACACTTCAACCCTGTGGACACAGATGACAATATAATGATTAATTATTTATTGTGATATTTCATGTTAACATTGAGCATCAGCATGTAAATGTTGCTCACTCATCAGTTTATAAAACAATGTAAGAAATTTGTGTTATTTAAGCTGTAATATTCTGAATCGTCATTGTGAGGTGGGGAATGTTTTTTAGACTGATTAATTTTAGTCAGATTTCTGATTATTGTATTTGTTACTGATGTAATTCCTGTGAGTGCAGTTTGTACAGGTATGTTAATAGTTACATCATGTAAACTACAAACTTTAGTTTAAGTTTGGATAGATCTTCACATAAGAAATCTGTTCACTATATTTGATATTCACATACCAGTCTGACCAATTTTCTTTAGTCTCCCATCTAGAGTTTTCTCCAGCTGAATCAGAGCTCTATTCATTGAATACACATTCACATCAGAGTCAATCCTGATCTCAGTGCAGTTCTTGATGTGTGGACGACTGCACAGAGATGAGTACATCTACAGCAGGAGAGAGAAGACTAGTAAATATGATCATATGCAGGAGCTTACTCATTTTTACTCTATTTTACATTACTCTACAGTTAATGTAATTTTAACTCTAGTTTTCTAATTTGACTTTATTATAGTTTAATTCTCTTTTGCACAGTTTCTGAAGACAGCAGCTCATCAGGTTTGTCAGCAGAGCATTTGAACAATAATATTCTGCATTCTCAGTGATGAGGCATGTGCTATTTTGGGACACCTTAATTATTAACTAAAATGTGCTTTTAACATATTTTCTCTGTTTTCTCTTTATTTAGTTACCAGTACAACTGAAACCATCTTTCATACACTTAAATATACTCATCATACATAGAAAATACACTTATAAATTATTTAAAATATAATAATAATAGGCTATATAATGCATATACACAAAATGTATTTATAATGTATTGCCCACATATTTTTTATAGATTATATAATTAATTTCAAATGTATTGTAATTATGTTAACATTCCCTTTATATGATATTTAACTACATGTTTGGTGTCTTTAAATAGTACAATCAAGTACATTATTACTGTGTCATTAGTAGCACTTTCTTCCACATTAAAAAATATAGCACTTGAAGTACTTTATGCTAAAAGTATACTTTCTGTTAAACTGTGAATTTTGTTTCACATCTAAACACTTCCTAAAATTACACCTATTGTGTAATCACTTCACGAAGCTGTTGTTTTCCATCATTAATAAATTAACTACTTGAATGTTAGAAATAATACATTTGATTAACATTACTGTAAATGTAATTCATGTAAATGTAATGTACTGTATTTTTCATGAAAATCCAAATAGAACTTAGTGATTGCATATATAAAAATCCATTAAAATTTTATGTAAAGTGATCGTAGCACACTTTTAAGCAATGCAATTATAAAACACTTCAGGTACTAAACTTAAAATCAATTTAAGTGTTAGTGCTAATTAGTGTATTAATTTATATTAAGTGTACTTAAGTAGCCCAGTTGGGAAAATGTACTTATAACTATTACATTACAAATATATTTAGAATAAAATCAATTTAATTTAAACTTATGATGACTATTTAAAAGTGTACTAACTTTTAACTAGTTTTTAAATCATTCATAGCACACTAATAAAAGTCCTCTATATATTTTTTTGTGGTAGTACACTTTATTTCAATGTACTAAAAATCTATTTAAATATCAGTTGTATTTAGTATACTTTTACAATTGCACTGAAGTACTACTGAAGTAGAAATATACTTTTAATTATTAAGTTTTACTATTTTATTTAGCCCAAAAAATAAGAATGTACTACAAATGTACTTGCTGCTTTTCTTATCTGCTGGTCTCATGTTACTTGGGGAAAAAAAACATTTAATTCAGCACCTTCATCAATTATGTTTATGTATTAAAATATTATAAAGCTTAACATTCATTTTCATAATTAGATCACTCACCTTTCTCATCTCTACTGAGTGCTGGATCTCTTGAATCTTCTTCATTCTGTTCTGGATCATCTGCTGCACATCTGTCTGTGTCTGAAGCAGCTGATTCTACACAGAGAGAAAAATACAGACATTTATCAATTAATTTACTTTTCCATCTTCTGACAGTTTTCAGGGTAAAGCTGCGGTCACACGAGACTTTGAGCATGTGACATTTCTTTGGAAGCTGCTGCAGTGGCTGTGATATGACGTCACGCCCTGCAGCGTTTTTAAAAAACTTTTTAAAAACACATTAAAAATTCCAAATATTTATAAAAATGTATTTAACACACAACCAGTGCTGCATAGTAATTGAATACATGTAATCTGAATTATGTAATCACCTTCCAAAAATCAAGTATTTGTAATTTCAGTATATTACATGTTATAATGCTCATACAGTGCCTTGCGAAAGTATTCATACCCCTTAATTTTTTTTTTTTTAACGTTTTGTTGTTGCAGGCTTGTTAACTGCTTTAAATTACTTTTTTTCCACATTAATCTACTCCCTACACCATAATGACAAAGCAAAAACAGAACGGTCACAACTTTGTAAATTTATTAAAAATAAAAAAATCTGAAATAAGTACATTGCATAAGTTTTCATACACTTAACTCTTAGCTGTACTTAGCTGAAGCACCTTTACAGCCTCAAATCTATTTGGGTGTGATGTGACAAGCTTTGATCATCATCATTTGGCAATTATCTACCATTCTTCTCCTCATCTCTTCACCTCTCAAGCTCTGTCAGGTTGGATGGGGGCAGACGCACATTTTCAGGTTTCTCCAGAAATGTTTGATTGGGTTCAAGCTCAGGCTGTAGCTGGGCCACTCATGGACATTCAGAGTTGTCTATAAGCCACTCTTGCTGTGTGCTTAGGGTCATTGTCCTGTAGGAAGGTGAACCTTCTGCCCAGTTGGAGGTTCTGAATGCTCTGGGCTAGGTTTTCATTATGGCTATCTCAATATTTTGGTGCATTGAGCTTTTCTTCTACTCTGATGAGTCCCTCAGTCCCTGCAGCTGAAAAACAGCCACACAGCATGAGGCTGCTACCAGCACACTTCACTTTTGGGATGGTACTCTGCAGGTGAGAGCTGGTTTCCTTCAAACGTGATGCTTAGAATTGAGGTTCATCAGACCAGAGAATATTGTTTCTCACAGTCTGAGGGTCATGTAGATGCTTTTTTTGTTGTTGCTGTTTTCAAAATGTGAAAAAAATGAATACTTTTGCAAGGCACTGTAATCAGATTAGTTACTTTTTAATGGATTACATATTTTTCACACAGTGGCAGTAAATCATTCATAATTTAATGATTCTCCCTAATTATCCTTTTTTCTCTTTTAAATTGTCCTTTTTAAAAATCCTACCGTGTTTCATACCATTCAGCTTTGATTATATTTATAATATTGAATGATCATGTAAATGTCATGTAAATAAATTTGCGATCCATGCTTCTGAATTTGGGGGAAAAGCACCTCTCATGCAATTAGACCATATATGAAACAAATAATTATGCAAGTTTCCAAATATAGCTGTGAAACACTATGTTTTCATCATATTGTCAGCGAATCCTTGCAGTCACAGTCACCACCGTCACCACAGTCACCTGCCAGGACAATCACCAGATCCCAATCTCCGGAATTCTGATCACCCACACCTGTAGCCACTAATCACCTATATCTCTGCACTCCACTCATTCCCTCACTGTCTGGTCTACTGTTCACCTCGTCTTTCCGCGGTCCCCAAACTGCTTACAAGTCCCATGCCGGCTCAAGTCGCTTCACATCTGACTATGTGCCGTTCCAGGATGTCTTCAGCAAGCAGGCAGCAACTCCCCTTCCACCTCATCGGCCATGGGATTGTGCCATCGACCTGCTGCATGGGGCAAAACCCCCCAAGGGTAGAGTATACCCTCTGTCGATCCCGGAGCGCAAGGCCATGGAGGACTACATCAAGGAGGCTCTCAAGCAAGGATTTATCCAACCCTCCACCTCACCTGCTGCCTCGAGCTTCTTCTTCGTGGGCAAAAAGGACACGGGCTTGAGGCCGTGCATAGATTACCGTGCTCTGAACTCCCAGACTGTGAAGCTGCCATACCCACTTCCCCTGGTCCCAGCCGCCCTCGAGGAACTCCGTGGAGCACGCATATTCTTCAAGTTGGACCTGCGGAGCGCGTATAACCTCGTTCATATCCGGGAAGGCGAAGAGTGGAAGACAGCTTTCATCACTCCATCTGGCCACTACGAGTACAGGGTAATGCCGTATGGCCTGGCCAACTCACCATTCGTCCGTCTTCCAAGGCTTCATGAATGAGGTGTTCCGGGAGTTCCTCCATCGCTTCATGATCGTCTACATCGATGATATCCTCATATACTCCCGGAACCTGGCTGAACATCGCCACCACGTGAAGCAGGTCCTCCAAAGGCCCCGACAACTAGAGCCCTGCACGGGCCTCAAATATAGGCCCTAGCCCGGCCCTGGCCTGAGACGCTCAGGCCCTGGCCCGGCCCGGGTCCGACAGCTCATCAGAATTCTTGGCCCGAGCCCGACTTTTTTTTCCCCCTTCTCCCAAAAGAGCTTATACTACTGTTTCAGCTATTAAAATAGTTAAGTTTTGTATGTAATGTCAAAGTGATTTATATTTCGTTTCGTTTTTTTATTAATTTAGTTTAGGAAAACGTTTGGAGCATTTTTTGTTCGTTAAATGTACTTTTTTTTCTTTTTTTCTTTTTTTTTTCTTGTAAATAACGACCAAGCGGCCAGCAGCAGACAGTAAGTTGATCATAGCCTATGTTTGATCAATTTAGCCTTCTCAAATAATCACGACTTGCCTAAAATAAAATCTATAGATATAAAACAGTTCAAGCATATTACAATGTTAGTTTAAATGTTTTACCTATATAAATGTGCGTTATTAGACTCATATCTAATCGTTTGTGCGGAGAGCTAAAGCGCGCTTTCCAGGGCATGGAGTAGCCGGCGCGATCACTCACATTGGAAACAACTTAAAATATGATGTAATTATTGCTCATAAAGGTAAGAGTAATACATCACTCGGAACTGTAAAGGGTCTACTTTTATTTGTGTGCACTCACAATATCAACAAAGCGTTGTGCTTTTATAAAATAAAGGATACATACAGGATGTGCTTTCTGCAATTTCGGCCAGGAGCGCTTCACAGTGATGAACCGAAACTCAGCGAATACTTGCCTCAAAAACTTGCTAAATATATCTATAGAAAGCTTTAAATTACTACTTTAAATCTAAATAATTCGAATCAAAAACAAACTCTTTTTACGGATTTTATACAATCCGTAAAGATGCATTTCTCAGGATCAGGATCAGGATCGTCATCTTCATCTTTGCGACACTGACTCAGAAAACACCAATTTATTAATAAATAATTCAAATATCTCATTATTTCCCCCCCGACACATTGAAGGTAATTACTTTTGCTGGGGCTTTGCGGCACGCTTTAGCCTATTGCGTGCATTTTTTGCTGTCATGTGCAAGGATATTTTTGCAGATTCTGTACTGCACATGACCAATTGACTCACTGTTTGCCGTGTTAATCAAATCAAGACTCTTCCAAAATACAGCTTTTCTGAAGCATTGGGAACTTTTAGTAACTCCCCACGCTCCAACTTCTCCCTGATGCTGTTCATGGTCAACTGTCACCTATATGCTAATGCGTGCATATGTGCGTTGCGTATTGCATAGGCGATGTATAATATAACAATACTTCATACAGTAGCCTATGTGTGCTCTGCGCATATATGGCACAATAAAAGGAGAGAGGCTAAATGAGCCCGGGACCCGACGGGCTTGCAGACCTCTACCGACAACACCACCTTTACCTCAAACTGGAGAAATGTGAATTCCATTGCTCCACGGTGCAGTTTCTCGGATATGTCATCGGGCGGGATGGAATTCAGATGAACCAGGGGAAGGTAAGAGCCATCCAGAAATGGCCGCTCCCACAATCTGTGAAAGACTTGCGTTCCCACGTCACAACGGCAGACCCTTCTGGGCTCCGTTCATGATCTATTGGGCTCTGGACACCCAGGCAGCCAACGGACCCTCTTGCTCCTCCAAGCTCGGTAATGGTGGCCCAGTATGATCCAGGACGTCATCCGGTACGTCCAAAGCTGCTCCGACTGAGCCATGTCGAAGACTCCTCGTCACCTCCCCGTAGGCAAGCTTGTCCCACTGCCCATTCCATGAAGGCCCTGATCCCATATCGGGGTAGACTTCGTCACTGACCTCCCCAACTCTGATGGTAATACCTGTGTCCTGGTGGTCATTGACCGCTTTTCAAATGCGTGCAAGCTAATTCCCCTCAAGGGTCTACCAACTGCCCTAGAAATGGCGGAATGCCTCTTTAACCACGTCTTCTGGAACTACGGCCTCCCAGAGGAGGTCATCTTTGACCGAGGTCCCAAATTCATCTCTCACGTGTGGAAGGCTTTCTTCCGGTTAATGGGAGTCATGGTGAGCTTGTCCTCTGGATACCATCCCCAGACAAAAGGGCAGACTGAGAGTAAGATCCAGGAGCTCGGATGATACCTTCGGTCATACTGCCACGAAGATCAGCACAGCTGGAGCCGCTTCCTCCCCTGGGCCGAGTATGCCCAAAACTCCCTGAAGCAGAACACCACTGGGTTAACCCCATTTCAGTGCATACTCTGCTTCCAGTCCCCGCTCTTCCCGTGGACAGAAGAGCCCTCGGAGGTTTCAGCTGTGGACTACTGGTTCCGAGCGAGCGAGAGGGTGTGGGACTCAGCTCACATCCACCTCCAACGAGCAGTGCAGAGGCATAAAACCTTCGCAGATGTTCATCGCACCGCTACTCCCACCTACCAACCTGGAGACATGGTATGGCTGTCCACCCGGGATCTGCGCCTCCGCCTGCCTTGTAGAAATCTGAGTCCCCACTACATTGGTCCGTTCCCCATACAGAGGCAGATCAACGAGGTCACCTACCAGCTTCAACTCCCTGCAAGGTACCACATTCATCCTACTTTCCACATGTCACTCCTTAAACCCTTCTCTCCCTCTGCACCAGATCCCACCAAGCTGGATGCACCTCCTCCTCCAGAGATCCTGGACCACCCCTCCATCTACCATGTCCGGGACATTCTGGATTCGCGGCAACGGGGTGGCCGGCTAGAGTACCTCGTGGACTGGGAGGGGTACGGACCGGAGGAAAGATCCTGGGCTAGATGCCACGCTCTTGGAGGAGTTCCACCGTACCCATCCAGGTCGTCCCGCACCCAGAGGCCGGGGTCGCCCTCGTCGCCATGTTAGGGCGTCAGGAGCCGCCCCTGGAGGAGGGGGTCATGTCAGCGAATCCTTGCAGTCACAGTCACCTGCCAGGACAATCACCAGATCCCAATCTCCGGAATTCTGATCACCCACACCTGTAGCCACTAATCAAGCCTCTTATATCTCTGCACTCCAGTCATTCCCTCACTGTCCGGTCTACAGTTCACCTCGCTGAACCAAGCCTGACTCCTCATCTGTTTACTCACCTGTGTTACTTACCTCTAGATTCTCCGACGTTCCCTCGATCCTGTTCACCACCGTTCCTGTCCTTCTCCCGGCAACCTGCAAAAGACCCAGCATCAGTCACAACCGCTAAGAACCCTCGAATTGTTATTCTGTGTGCTTTTCTCACCTGCTATCCGCTGCCACGATCTCATCCTGCATACAATTCAATAAAACCATCTGTTTGATCACTTACCTCTTGTCTCTGGCCTGTTTTGTGAAACATATGTAGTGATTTTCAGTAACTGTTGATTCTGGAGATCTTTACAAAAATATTTCAAACCTGTAAGACTTTGGGCATCATGCTGTTCTCATGTTTATTAATGTTTCTTCATATAATGCAGGGATTCCCAAACATGTTTGTAAGCAAAACCCCTTTGACATGAAGTATTTACTTAAAATGTATCTGAGGAAGTGAATATTGCAATAATGTAACACATTTGCATGTTTACAATTTGATGACACTTAATGGTCACATTGACATGCAGATAAACAAATTAAATATTTATATTTTAAGTGTTTAAATTTATTTTATGATTTCATTAATTATTAGCTTTTATCAACTCACAAACCCACTGCAGTTCTTACATTAAGCCCAGTTTGGGAAACCCTGCTGTAATGTTTGATGCATTTTATGATGTTGAAATCAAAAAGTGGAATATATTTTCTTTCTCTTTGCTTTTTTTTATATATATATAAATATGGTAAGTTTAAAACTAACCCTAATCTAAAAAGTATGTATTACCTAAAATTAGTAACCATTATATTACTAATTACAATTTTCATAATGTAATCTGTAATCAGTAACTGTTTACAGTTTGTAAGTAATCCACCCAGCCCTGCACATAACAAATAATAATAAATCCAAAATGTAAAATTTACAATCTACTCCACTTCCCTGCAGAACTGCAGTTTTAAACTGATGTTCTTTTAATTGAGCTACGAGGTCATGCCTTGACATATCGATCTTCTATTGGTCACACAGTTTCACGTGATACGAATTCACCAAACTTACATTTTGGAACACAGTAAAATGTGAAACAACTTCACAGGAGCTTGCGTTTCTGCTCTACCACTCTACCAATAGAACGAAAAGTGTAGTGTGACTCACCTTTAACATAAAAAAAGAACAAGTTCTTCAACATGTCAACACAGAGAAAAGAAAACTGCATTTCATGGGTGTTTATAGTGTTTTGTTTGTGACTCTTGCCTTCTTCTGCTGACTCTCCTCCTCTATAGGAACAGTGTTGTGAGTCCTGTGGTCTCCTTCAGTGCAGGACAGACACACACTCGTCTGATCATCTCTGCAGAACAGCTCCAGAGGTCTCTCGTGTTTCTGGCATATATAATCCTCCAGATTTTCCACAGCGTTGATCAGTGTGTGTTTCTTTAGACGTGGGACTCTGTGATGAGGCTCCAGGTGAGTCTCACAGTAAGAGCTTTGACACATCAGGCAGGACTTCACGGCTTTCTGCTTTCTTCCATCACAGATGTCACACAACACCTCAGATTCTCCTAGATTGAGCTTCTCCTTAAAGTGTTGCACAACTTCTCTTAATGTTGAATTAATCTTGAGATCAGGTCTTCTGCTGAATGTTTCTTTACAGAGTGGACAGAAGCAGGTCTGTGTGTTTGTCCAGCACTTGTTCAGGCAGGTTCTGCAGAAGTTGTGTCCACATGGAGTGGTGACTGGATCAGTGAACACATCCAGACAGATGGAGCACTGGAGCTCCTCATTTAGTGGACCCCTGGAGGATGCCATGACTGAAAAGTAAAGTAATGACAATACAGGTATTTGTTGAGATAGTGAATTGGTGGGTTTTTGTTAAATGTGAGCCATAATCATCACAATTAAAAGAACCAAAGACTTAAACTACTTCAGTCTGTGTGCATTGAATTTATTTAATACACAAGTTTCACAATTTGAGTTGAATTACTGAAATGAACTTTTCCACGACATTCTAATTTATTGAGATGTACCTGTATATCATCTACATTGCTAAATAGAGCAGTTTTGATAATACTAATGATGTGATCGAGTCATTTAGTTTGTGTATGGATGTTGCATTTTAAGTTAAGTTAAGTTAAACTTTATTGTCCATTCTGCTTGTCACAGAGCAGACATTTTTCTTTGACACTGGTGACATAGATACATCCACATTAATACTTAAGAAACACATCACACATTGAAAACGATTCTAACTAAAAACGTTAATGACAATGTAAACTATAAACCACTGTTTATATCAAAGTCAAAGCAGCCATAGAGAAATATGTGACAGAAGTTACAGACTGGAAGTTAGGACAGAGTTGATGAATGTCAGTCTCACTGAGCCTAAGCTCCGCCCCTAACTTCCTGTCTGAGACTGCTGGTCTGGTGTTTCAGGTCTAGTGACTCTGTGGCACTGCAATGAGATATTATTGGGTGGTAGAAGAAACTAAATAAAGAAGCTAAATAAATAAAGTTTTACAACAATATTTTAGTAACACGAAAAGGTATTTTTATATGAAAGACAGCACAGAAAAAAGGTGGAAGTGTATATTTCAAACATACAACCTACTAAATAAACACCTTTAAACACCAGGTATCATTTTTATTTAATGGTGTTATGATTTTCACTGGACTTTGTTCATTCTGTCTGCAGTTCAAGTACTTCCTGTTTCTGCCGTCTCTAAACTGACAGTACACTTCAAACTTTGACTTACAGCCAATTAAATGACATTCTGTTACAAACATTATGATACTGCTTCATTCTATTTAACTACTGAACGAGCTCTTTACATTTCCATCACTTACCTGTGAGTGAATACCAGATCTGATCGTTAATTTTCGAGTTTCTGAATAGAAATGTTGTTGTTTGACGAAGCTTTCAGTTCATCTGTTAAGTTTCACTTTCACTGAAGTCTTTCAGTCACCTGCAGTGATGTCATACTGTAGCTCCGCCCATAATCATGAATATGAAACAGTTTCTAATTCATTCCTGCTGAGTGTGTAACAGTGTAAGAAACCTTTAGAGTATTTGTTTCGTTTTGGTAGTAGTTCTTTTTTGATGACAGCAGTGTCAAATATCAAGTTACCGCCGTTTACACATTGCTTCACAGTGAAATCTTTGAACTGTTCAGTGATTTCCTAGGAAGATAAAACAATAAAACATAAAAAGGTATTTGAATTAAAATCCAATATTGCTAGTTGTTAATAAAATCAACCACAGATATATAAAATTATGTCAGTTGCCTGGGTATTTGCAGTGGTGGACAGTAACGGAGTAGCTTTATTTCGTTACTGTACTTAAGTACATTTTTCAAGTATCTGTACTTTACTGGAGTCATATTATTTTTTAGTAACTTTTACTTTTACTTCACTACATTCCAAAGCATAAGATCGTACTTTTTCACTACATTTCATAAAACATATCGTTCCTAATGTCGAATTTTAGGATTAATTATTGTAACTGAAAATCATATTTAGGTCAAAACTGTCAGTTGTTTGTGAACTAAATCTGCTGTAAAGGGTGATCTATTTAAGCCCACTGAAATGATTGAATGCAGACACATCAACATCTGTGTGTCTATTTTAGGTTAAAAAAACCCCGAAACATTAAAATAACACAAGACTAAGTAAAATAATTAAGTGTCTAACATTTCACACTTCATCCGAGTATTTAAAGTGCACTTTTTCTTTTTGGAATTTTCAGTGTGAACGAACTACTCTCGCTATTTATACTACAAAACATCATAGAATAGTGCATAAGCAGGCGATTTGGGACACACCTATAGTGTCAGAATAATAGAGAATGTGAAGCTGACGTCACACCGCGCTGAGTTCTGGGAAACTGCTTTGTTTATCCGCCATACTGTGAGGATCACGCTGCCTCTCTGCTATTGAGTTTAGGGCAGTATTTTGATTTTCTGTTGCGACTGTGAAAAATGTTACCATTGTATGTCATTCATGCTGCACTGAGAATTGCAAAAGTAACTCCGGTATTTGCAGTGGTGGACAGTAACGGAGTAGCTTTATTTCGTTACTGTACTTAAGTACATTTTTCAAGTATCTGTACTTTACTGGAGTCATATTATTTTTTAGTAACTTTTACTTTTACTTCACTACATTCCAAAGCATAAGATCGTACTTTTTCACTACATTTCATAAAACATATCGTTCCTAATGTCGAATTTTAGGATTAATTATTGTAACTGAAAATCATATTTAGGTCAAAACTGTCAGTTGTTTGTGAACTAAATCTGCTGTAAAGGGTGATCTATTTAAGCCCACTGAAATGATTGAATGCAGACACATCAACATCTGTGTGTCTATTTTAGGTAAAAAAACCCCCGAAACATTAAAATAACACAAGACTAAATAAAATAATGAATGCACGTTCATATTCCCCGCTACCGTAACGTTAACAGTTTTATTAAAATGCTACGCATTTAGCCCTATGTGACGTCTGTTTTTATATTGTTTATCAACAGTATACATTTTTATAGTGTTTGGATTAACTAGCCGAGTAGACAGATATGAATGTTTATTCATAACCATACTGAAAATACGTAAATATTGTTAGCTGATGCTAACTGTCTAACTAACAAGCTTGCTGGTGCTAAGTTGAGGTAATTTTTAGATATAGTCCAAATATTTTTATTCAACCACCTAGATAGATTACATCTGAGGAAAAGAAAGGGTGTGATGTTCAGAACATGGTAACTACAGTTATTTAATCCCAGGTATTTTGAGCAGTAGGATTATAAAAAATGTGCTAATAAGCCTATATAAAAAAAATTGCAAAATAAATCTATCTATCAGTACTTTTTTACTTAAATACATAAAAAAATCGAGTACTTTTGTACTTTCACTCGAGTAAAATTGAAAAAGGAGTACTTTTACTTTTACTGGAGTAATATTTTATTATACGTATCTGTACTTTTACTCAAGTACTTGATTTGTGTACTTCGTCCACCACTGGGTATTTGTTCTGACAGAAAACTGGACAGTGCTGTTTGTTTTTTCACCTTTTTTCTGTCTAAAAACCCCAAGGGAAGCAGTTCGCGGAGATGACAATAAGTTATTAATAGATATACTATACGGATAGTATATCTATTAATAATGTCAACAATTAACCCACTGCCTGTCACTCAATAAAATAATCATATTGCTGAGTATTTTCGAAAGTCCGTGTTGGGTGAAAGGGGAGCGGGGGCGGGAGGGGGTCACCTCATTTGACAACTCCACAAAGCACTACAAGTGCGTCGATATGAACACTCGTTTAAGTGGCATACACACTGGGAAATTTGACTGCATATCACATTTTTGAAATGATCGATAGTAGCTGATCAATCTCGGGGGTTGGGCTGGGTCCGCTTGGCTTACTTGTCTTTGGGCTCGTGCTGGAGCTGGCTCACTTACGTCGGTGCTCGTGCTGGGGCTGGTGTTGGATGCCTATTTTGGAAAGTTTTTGCTGGGATGGGCATTTTAAAAAATCTGAAATTCGCTTTTGCGCCATTATCTCCTTGTATTAAAGTTAATCTTGTTTGCATTCTGTATAGTTCATGTCTGATACAACGCGCCAGCGTCACGTGTTCATGAGGATTAGGCTAATCATCCCGAAAACATCACAAGTAAAATTAATCATGCTTATAAAGATAAACATGGGTTTGTTATAGCCCACTGACAATTTACATTTCAGAGATCATTACAGATAAATGTAAATGCTAAAACTGAATAAATTTAAATGAACAAACTTGCCGTTGCATTTGCAACCATGTGAAAACAGGGGGTGCTGCAGCCCCCTCAGCACCCCTACTTCCCGCGTCCCTGTGAAGATCATCCTCACTGATCTGTAGTACAGGAGGGGGGGAGAGGGGGATTGCAGGAGGTGTTAATGGTTGTGTAGAGAGATGGTCAGAACGGGTGTGGGGGGGTTCGAATCTACAATAAAGCTCATTCAGGTCTTCAGCAAGTTGTTGATTCGTCCTCAGTGCTGGGGGCTGGTGTCCTGTAGTTTGTGATGGCTTTCAGATCTTTCCACACTGAAGCTGAGTTATTGGAAGTGAACTGATCTTCCAACTTTTTAGTGTAGCTCATTTAAGCCGCTCTAATCTCCTTATTCAGTGTGTTCCTGGCCTGATTGTACAAGACTCTGTCCCCATTTCTGTAGGCATCCTCTTTGGCCTGACGAAGATGTCTGAGTTTTGCTGTAAACCATGGCTTATCATTGTTCAATGTTAAATAAGTCCTGGTAGAAATGCATATATCCTCACAAAAACTAATATAGGATGTTCCAGTCTCTGTGAGTTCGTCTAGA